GTCACAGCAATATTCAGGTTGTATAATGGAGCATGTTATTAAGACTTAAAAAAGCAAGAAAGACTTCATTCTGTACCTTTTTCCCCCGATAAGCTTATGTTTCTTTATTCTTGCAAGTAAGATGATAAAGCTGAAAAGGTGAATCCTTATTGATCAGTTCTTGATATATTTAATATCCAATAATATTTGCATTCAGGTAAGGAATTAAATTCAGTGTAGAGTGAGTTACTGTGGATGCCTTATCTGTTTAAGAAAACCCGACTTAAATCTTTTGACCTGTTTCTATGGGTCCATCCTTCCATTTTCCTTTATGCTTATCCCTGCTAGGGTCGTGAGGGGCACTGGTGCCTATCTCCAACTGTTAATGGGCAAGAGGTGGGGTACACCCTGGACTAGGGGTGTCAATCACATCCATCATGGCGATTCGATTCAGTATCGAATTCCTACTACTGTATACTCAAGAATACACCAAGATACGATTCGATTCAATTAATTGGCTAATTTTTTTTTTTATTACAAAAAATTTGTAATAAATCAATGAAAGCTGTAATATCGTTATGCATTATTTTTTTGAGAAACAACAGCAAATAACAGAAGTAGAAAAGTTGCACTCCACCTATTCCTATTAAAACCTCATTTACTGAAAAATAATAATGCCCCTGCATTATAGATTCTGAAAGGCCTTCATCAAAAAATACTGCACAAAATCAGTGCAATGTGTGCAATTTAATAACTCGGCTCCAGACGTCCCGCCCCCTCCACAGACGCTCCGCTGCTCCTCTCCCAGATTGTAACTGACCGCAAACAGTGCCGTAGACAGGAGGCCGGCTTGTTTTGTTTTTATGACCGAAATTGTGGAAAACAACTCGTGAAGTTTGACCCGCTAGCGAGATGCACGAGAATGCTGGGACCCTTTTTCCACCTGGATCTTCGCTCTTTTTGGCCCTCATGTCCCTCCGTTGTTGGACTAAACTCTCCCCCACTTCCTCACCGCCTCGGCCGTATCTACAGTAGACCCACAGTGTGTAGCACAGACCACACTTCCATATTGAGCACAAATCAAAAATGTCTGTGTCAAGTTTACTACAACACACTGCTGTAAGAGTATAACCAGGAAGTGAGGTAGGAGGGCTCCCTCGCGTACAGCACGGGAGGGAGAATTACGTCCAGGAGCAAATCAATAAAAATAGACCGGAGGGAAAAAAACATGAATCGATACTCTTGCGGACGTATCGATGTATCGGATCGTGGGACAAGCAAGCATTCACGGGCACACCCTTGCCTAAGGAGAAGTCAATTCACCTCACAGTCATGTTTTTGGACTGTGGGAGGAAGCCGGAGTGCCCGGAGAAAACCCATGTATGCTCAAGGAGAACATGCAAACTCCATGCAGAAAGACCCACTGCTCCACTGTGCAGCCCAGTTCTATGGGTACAAAATGTAATGTTATAAACATATTTAAGATTTTCTAATCCCCTTTACCAAACAACTTATTCTTGTCATCTTTCATATGTGTTTCCATAAACCAAAACTCTCTCTGAAAGTAACACCAATTCCCCCTAATTTGATTTATATGAAAGAATAATGACTCAGGCTTTAAATAACCATTTTTTATTGAACAGATTATATTATCGATATAATGACATTTAATATAAATCAAAGTGTTTTTTTGGATTAATAGCCCCCAACCAAATGTAGTTCCACACAAATCCCTCAAAATTATCCTCCTGTTTTCAGCAGGGGGCAGGATGCAGACTCTTCATTACCTGTAAACCTGAAAAGAAAAGTAATAGAAATCGTTTTAAGGACCACATGTGGGATAGGTGTTACATTTGATCTACTGCTTGTGTCCCATTCTTTATGATGCTGCTATGACTACAGGTCATATTGCCAATGCCAATGAGTACACTGTAGATTGCCATCTTTATAGGTTATCATTACATTGTAAAAGTAAACATCCTGTTTTGACAAACTCTATTTTACAACTCTCTGCTATATTGAAATGTTTCTCTTATAAATATTTATCATTAGATTTCATATTTAATGATTTTCATGAATCAATAATTCCACACTTTAGAAGTTGTTACGGTCAATCCTGTCTTGCTTCATCTGGGTTTTGGCCTTCTCTTTCTGCAGGAGCACGTGTTCAGCAAACTCCCTCACTGCTCCCATCCCACCAGCTTGGCGGCAGGTGTACTTGGCAGCATCAGCGGCATCCCTCGGAGCATCAGCGGGTACTCCGCTCAGACCTGCCAGGTTAAGACAGGCTGCATCTGCTGTGTCATTACCTGACAGGAAAGGGAGGGATGAATTCAATTAAGATGCTTTCTTATAGAATGCAGACTTGCAATATTTTAAGTTATTCAGCCGGTACAGAATAAAACTTCTTCACTTAAAGACCACATTATTTTATATTTTTTTGACTCACTGAAATAGTGGCTCAAATTTTTCCTTTGACTAGGCCATTCCATTAAATGACAGCTTGGTTTGAGCCATTCTACGTTAGTTCAAGGTAATTGTCCTACTGCGAAGTAAAACTTACGGAGCCCCTCTGATGACATGGTCAAAAAAAATGTTTTATTGTGGCCACGAAGTAGTATAGCGTGCGCATAAAATACTACTTCGTGGCCACACAATAAGTATAACGTGCGCACAAAATACTAAGGTCTTCTCTAAGGTCTAAGGCACGCTCGATTTGCTTACCCAGTTGTCCAGGAATGATATTAATATTATTAATAAGTATTTCGTGCGCACGTTAAACCTATTGCGTGGCCACGAAGTAGTATTTCGTGCGCACGAAATACTACTTCGTGGCCACAAATAATTTTTTTTTTGACCATGTCATCAGAGGGGCTCCGTAAAAACTCCTACCAATGCTGTCCCAAGTCAATTTCTATGTCCCACCTATGGAGAGGTGTGTTCAGGAGTGACTGAACAATCTGTAATGCAAAAGACATGCTTCAAGGGCACATTTGGAAATCAAAGCAAAGCAGTAATGCGAGTATATTTGCCATGGAGAAAAACAGCAAAAGTTTGCAGTGGAAAAATCGGAACCTCTCTACAGGGTGTGTGACTGGATGTGGTTATAACGTGCGATTAATTAGTACACCTGAGACTAAGCTTTTTTAAATTAAAACTTAACCAGAGTTGTCAGTCCAGTGGAGTAGCTAGTTTTTAATAAGGGAGGCCACGAAGCAGGGAAAGCAGATAGAGGCAAGAACCGAGTCAGGGTCAATCTACACTCTACCGTCAGGAAAATGAGCCAAACATCCCTATTTTCTGAATAAAGACACACTGAGTTTTCTTGAAGCCCTTGCTAATTTATAAACACATATTTACAGTTTTGTGCTGTTTGAATGTAAATATGACTATTTTTTTCACCTTTAAGTTATGGGGGGACCATCTTATATTATAATTTGGCCTGCTCTTCCTGTGCATTTGCTCTACTAGTGTTTGAATATCCACAAAACTTTGGTTTTATTTAGTTCCAGATCTCATTTTATACTTTAAAAATGGCTGAGAGTTGCAAGAAGCTGTCTTGCAAGTCTAAGAGGAAGGCTTCAGAGGAAAGAAGTGTATTTGGGCGACTTTGTATGTTATAGTGTTATTAAATTATGCTTTTGAATAGCAGGTAGGATGATCTTGCACATGCACTATTATAAAAAATATAAAAGAAAAGCTTGGCATTACATTTCTGGAACAATATCCACGTTTATCAATACATTTTCTGCATAATATCAATATTTACAAATTAACATAATTCCTATATTGAATAGGTTTAGTAATTATTTATTTCTAATTACATTGAAGACTCTAGATGACTTAGAGAGACACATTTTTTCTGTTCAACCCCATAAAATACAAAAACTAGAAAAGCATGAATTCTGTATCTATCATATTGAATATTAGTATATTGATATAACCAATTAATTAGTGTATTTTTTTTATCTTTTATTTTTAATATGCAAAGAATAAAAATGTAAAACTATTTTCCTTGACAGTATCACTGCTGCTCCCTCTTTTTAAGAACAGAAATGCGTGAGAGTTTTGTCTACATGGGATTGTCTGCCAGGTGTGGCAAATGATTGACCAAGGATGACCTTCGGCACCCCTGGCCCACCATCTAGCTCCGCCCATAGATAAGTCTTCCTGCAGCAGCAAAGCACTTCCTGATACTTAATCCTGTACAAGGGGAAGTACTGCTGGAATAGATAATCTATTGCAGTTCTTGGAGCAGCTGGTGGTTACTGGTCATACTGGGAGTAGATCTAGTGTACCCAGGAAGGAGGGTGCTTAATGACTTATCATATAAACAGAACACAGGGCAAATGCCAAACAATGCGAATGTGGCAATTCAAGAAATGTTATTAGGCTGAACAGAACTTACAGTAGTCACAGCAAACGAAACCCATGGTTGTCTTCAAGTGATGTTAGCTGGAGTTCAAAAATCTAAACCTTTCTGTTGTGATTAAGGGTGAGGGCGTCATAATCACAACTTTTTTTTATTTGACACAAAATTCCTTCTTTATATTCCCATGGCTGAGTGAAGAAAAGCAGAGGATAACGATCATGGCCGCAATGTCTACCTGGCTGCAACTGGAGCAGACTTGAATTCTAACAGCAACACTTTAAACAGTCCTTACTACACAAGTTAAAGGAGGTCAGACTCATCTCCATAATTCAAAATGATATATGTTGAACATACAAAACAACTAAAAGCGACTTGCTCACCCATGTAGGCCACGTCCTTCCAGTCAAGCCTTTTCCGCTGCACGACTGACTGCACCTCCTTGAGTGGCTCCTCCCCTACATCCATAACCTCACACCCCATCACCTCTTTCAGTTTGTCAGCCATTGACTGGGTCACAGGGTCTTCACTGGAGGTCAGCAGCACCACCTGAACAACAGAGTCAGAACACTATGAAGTGCTAAATGATCATCCAACAATAAGACTGGAGCAACTGAGTAATCCAACCTCAACTCCATCTTTTTGCAGCATCCTGAGCCCTGTTGTGTCTTTAGTTTGGATAGACACCATGTCCTCTCCAGATGCAGACAGAAACACCCTTCCATCTGTCAAACATCTGGAAACCCTACAGAACATTATAGACACTCCCCGACCAAAGTAACCAAACCTGGTGAAAGAAGCGCAGAACAAACAAACAAAAAAAAAAACTATAAAGAGATTCATTATTTTCTGACTTCTGACCAGTCCAGGCTGTCTTCCACATCTATCTTTGGTATTTTTTAATACAAATGAACATTTTAATATCACTTATTTATAAAACACTTTAAAACACTAATACTTTGCTCATGGTTGTCATTACAGGTAAACAATACAGCATGGGAATTTAGTCAGTTTGAATCTTTTTTTAGTCCTTGTATTGAAAATCACATGTAGTAAGGACAGAGGCAATCTCCATAAGCCAGCGAAGAAAAGTGTATCGTAGTAATTGGTTTTATAATGCGAAATACAGATAGAGTACATTTATGAACAAAGAACCTGAGGAGTTCTTTTTTCTTCAAAATGGAAATAGATGGGGATAGATGCTGCTGAGTATGAGTTACAGTATGTATTACTATAAATACAACATTTAGGAATGACAAATAAAAAAAGATTTAAAGTACCAAAAAGGTACTATATATATATGTACAATTTTTTTTGTTTTTTTTTGTTTTCTCTAGTCTGATGAAGAATATAATTCTTTCAATTACAAAAATATTGTAAATGATATCATACCGGGCCTTGATGAATGGGCTGCATGGCCTAAAGCCATTTCTTACTGATTGCTATTCTGGCTGCAACAATTAAAACCAGAACAAGTGAAAATGATTGGCTTCCTCGGAACCACATTTCCCAAAATAATTGGATAAATGCAATTTTTGGGATTTCCTAGCTAGCATAATAAATGTCTGCTTAGAAGGGGTTAAGTTCTTGATCTTCCATAGAGATTCACAATATTTAAGCCATGTCTGTTCTGAAATACACTGTCTCTTTACAGCACAATGTTGAAATAAATTTGAGTCCAGAATCAGTTTTATATGCACCATTAAACATTTTCAGAAGCTCATTATACAACATCCTCTGAGCATCAGGGATTAGATATGTCATACTTGCTTAATCTGTAGAAATCCTTATTTTTTAATCTATCCTGAGTCTTCACAGATTGAAAGTTACTTAGTACATCCTGACTAAAAAGGTACAACATTATGAAAGGCCCTGTGCCATCCACCTCGTATAGGTTGCATTGATATAAATCATATAAACGCAATCTTAAAATCTTAATGTATTCTAGCCAACCTCCCTTAAAAGTTACATCTAGCCAGATCTTTAGAGGTAAATTGATCTATTTGTGACCTACTTTAATTGTTTTCTAAATTAGTGTTTTTATCCATTTGAAAGGCCTGAATTGGCAATGCCCCAAAATGTTTTTCTTCTATTCCTTTCCACCTAGCACAGTAATCATGGTTGTACCAATAAAACAAGATTCTTGTATAACATATAAAATAAAACAATGAAATTTTGTGTTCTCTGCCTAGAATTTTGATGCCAGCTATGTTAGTATCCTGGTTGATCCTCGGACTTAGTGCTTTAGTGAATATTACAGAGTAGTGGACTCATAGGACAGCCCTCCCTAATCCACCCAGACATATTTGAAATGGTGCCATTTAATTTCATTGTTGCCTTTGTAGTCCTATACACTACTTGTATGATTCTAATCAATACGTGATGGAATCCGTGTTTATAGCATTCTGTCTTTCTGCATCCAGGCTCAGCAGTTCAGCCTAAAATGCATGTAAATATATTATTATCTTGGTTAAACACACTTTTCAGCCAGTCTTACCTGAGAACTCTCTCCTCAGCCACAGGCCAGTCAATGTCCACATCTATGTCCACGCTGTGCTCTGGCTCCATCTCAAAGTAGGCCACTTTTCTCCCCTAAAGAGACACTAACTCAACATCAGAATATCTACACAGCAAGAACTTATTTGATCCCTCTATCAACTATAGTCAAAAGATGATACTGTTGTAATACCTGTGTTGAATTTTCTTTTAAAATGAGATCCCTGGTTCCAATGTAGAATGAGCCATTCTCATACAACTCTCCATCCCAGTCCTGACGCCGGGGGCGCTTTGCAGGAATGATATTTAAGGGCTCAGTGTATTCACCACCTGATAGGACAAAGGATCCATTCGTTTTAGTAGAAATGCATCACCTTGTCCTTAACATGCTTCAGTATTATATGCATTCTCTCACATGAGCAAAAACCCTTTAAAATGTCTCCCCTATTTTTATTTATTTAGCAGAAGCAAGAATCAGGTACTTCCTTTGACATTTCCTTTATTTTTGATATTCCCCCAAACTTAAGCTAATGATCAGAGTCTTCCTGTAAGGTTTAGGCTTTGCTCCGATGTTTCCCATGGTCTCTCCAGAAATCAGGTTTTTGTTCTGGGATCTTTTGGGCATTGCAGTTTGATTAAAATAATGTTGTCCTGGAGCCTTTGTTTTTTTAAGGCATTCTACTACCTTCTAGGGAGCACAATACATTTGCATTACTGTAATCTCTGTATTGATGGTACTTTCTAAACATATGTGTAGCTCCAAAGTGAATCTGTTCATATATCGCAAACCAATTTCATTTTCTCTTTGTTTCAGTGTACATTTATATATTTACCTTAAATATTGGTGATTTGATGTTATATCACTATCAATATTGAATACTAAAACTTGCCAGAGTTTTATATTAGTGCATCCATACTTTTACTAGGATAGGGGGAGGTAGACTTACTTCCTTCTTTAACCTCCTTCCAGCGGAACTGGTGTCTCCGGACCACAGAGAAGACAGAGTCATAGCCGTCCTCTATGATCTTCTTTAGGGCCTGCTGTAAGTGGGAGGGATGGAGACATGGAGATGTGCACTGGATGTGACAGACCACGTCTACCTCTGTAAAGATAAAGAGGTTTCCATATTGCAGGTTGTGTAATGTTGTGATTCTTTAGTCAGTTTGCTGATGGTCTGGAATGATTTTCATACCTGGGTTTTTCCTTAGAAATTCCTGGATGGTTTCCACTGATGAGGAGCAGTCTCTGGAGACTTCAGGGCTTCTCCGGTGGACCTTGGCACCCCAGGATTTGGCCACTTTTTCAATTTCATCGTGATCTGTTGAAACCCAGACACTGGAAAAAAAGAGAGCTATAGCTGACTTCTACTATCAATGTGTTCTATTATAAGAGAAGTTTTTTTTAATTCTTTTTTCTTATCAAATGTTTAATCTTTCAATTTGCTTTTTTTTATGTTTTCTAAAAATTAAATGACATGGATTAAACAAATTGTAAAATGAATTAAATATAACATAAGTCAATAGCATAGTTCAAAAAGAGTATACATTTTATTTTAGGCAAAAAAGGTGATAAATGGATCGATGGAATGATTTATGGAGAGAAAGATTGCTTACATTGATAATGATTTAGTGTTTTTTTCTAATTAAATACTTCAGCAAGTTTCTTTTTATCCATCCATCCATCCATCCATTATCTGACATGCTTGTCCAAATTAGGGTCGCGAGGGGTGCTGGTGCCTATGTCCAGCAGTCAATGGACAGGTCACCAGTCCATCGCAGAAGTTTCTTTTTAGCACTTTTTTATTTATTTTCAATATATGATTATTTTTATATACCTACATATATATATATATATACACTCACTGGCCACTTTATTAGGTACACCTGTCCAACTGCTCGTTAACACTTAATTTCTAAGCAGCCAATCACATGGCGGCAACT